TCACATGGGCATCATGAGACATATGCACAGCTGTCTGGGACCAAACTGAGCATCATCAGGACTTCCCCAGTTAACCTAAAAAAATGAGTTGGTGAGTGCAGCAGTGAGGGAGTAAATAAAACAATCAGAATGATAATCATAAAGTACAACTAAGAGAAAATATTCACTAAAATAGTAGTAACAGTGACTAAGGATATTGATAGAACAACTGCTAGATAAAGCAGAATACAATAAAAGTTAAAACATCAAGTACAAAAACTTGGGAAGTAATCAAATGGCATACAGCAATAGAAAAAAATGCATTAAAAAGCAAAAACATTACAACAACATAGAAAAAGAAAATAAACAAACAAATAAATAAATGCATAAATGCTCCTCACCCTTTTTCTACTCCAGCTCAAATAGACCAGTTGTCATTTGCAATTTCAGTTGCTACACAAACAAAGAAAGAAAGCATGGTTCAAAGGAGAAGAAGAACGAGTTAACCTGTAGTGTCATAAGTTGCAAATTGGCTTTTGATATTCAGTGGTGGAGCAAGTACTCAAACACTTTACTTACGTAAAAGTACATAAACAAACAAAAATGTACTCTAGTAAAAGTAGAAGTACCACATTAATATTTCTTTACTTAAGTCAAAGTAAATAAGTACTTGCTTTTAAAATACTTAAAGTATTAAAAGTAAAAGTACTTGCTGAATGTATTACCTAATGCAATGGTCTACAATATCGTTAAATGTACCTACTGTATGTATATTTTCTGTACTACATTTATAGTGTTGAGTCATTTTAATGAACAATGCTGCAGATAATACATGTTTTTATTGTGTTTACTCTGTGACACCGTTCACACTTGGACTTGTGATTCTGTGCATCAGAATTTCAGGGATGACCTGCAGAGTTAAATGTTATTAAGCAAAATAAGAAAGAGGAATGATTATACCTTTGAAAGTTTTTATTTAACACAAAGCAAAACCAATGTGTGATTTTAACTGCAGCAAACACATTTAAGTAAAAGTTGTCTCATGAAAAAAGGAGCATCAGACACAACTGACAAAGGAACAGACTCTGATCATTTCAACTCGTTTGTCATCAACTCTAGTTAAAATACTGTATAGTCGACCTTGTAATGGGTCAATAGTGAACAATATTTTGACTTTCTGGCACCATTTTTAAAACTTGGACCTGAGTGTGGCGCCATTTGGAGACATCTCTTGTCTCCTAACATCCATGAACGGACACATTTTAATATTGAGGCAAGAATTTCTTGTTCAAGTTCAGAAGAAGTTGGTTTTCAAAGTTTCTTGAGTCCAGTCTGGTTCTTTAGGGAGAGAAAATATGTCCTGCTGTATTGAAGAGTCTTTCAATAATCTGTCAATAGTCTTTCAATAATATTTCAATAATCTTTCAATAATCTTTCAATAAGGCCATGGAGCACCACAGATGCCATATTTGCTTTGAGGATGCTGATGTAGAAGAACAGAGAAGGTCAGAAAGAACTCCATTGTGTTGTTGTGGATTAAAAAAAAGCATATGACAGGGAGGGAGGAGGTGTGGTATTGCAAGAGGAAATCTGGAGTGTCAGAAAAGTATGTAAGACTGGTACAGACTAGAGCTGGGTACCTTTCTAAAAAAAAATCGGTACCGGTACCGGTGTCGGTACCTTCACTTCGGTGTCGGTTCCTGGACGGTTCTTTTTTCGGTACCAATTTTGTAATTACTATTAATTCTAACAAGAATAAAATTACGTTACACATTACAGTACAAATTGTGAGTTTTATTTTTTTAACTTTGGTATTTTTCTGTTCCAAGCAGTTTTCTTACATAAAAACAAACAAATAATTTCCAGGTCAAAAGAACAGTTACAAACCAGTGACACTTCAGTGTTTTAATGTTCACTGCTAAACACTGAGGACCTTTTCACTTCACAGTTGTTCTTCAGAAAAATCAACATGTCTGTTTTCTCTGGACACAAACAAGCTGCTCCTGGCTGATGGTGTCTCCAGCAGTAGAAAATGTTCAGTCAGAGGGTGTAGATGATACTTGTTGCACACACAGATACCTGATTGTCAGTTTGATAGCACTGACATATTGTCCCTCACATTTCACCAGCAGGTCACTGGATTCACTGAGGTAGGGATGATACGGACTTCTGCACCTCTTTGTCTCTGCCTGAATCTTCTCTGTGGTTCTCTGGGGTTTAGGGCTCTGATCATCTCCCTAATTGACATGAGAACAAAACATCAACAATAACATGGTTGTGTTATTATTACTCAAAAAACATTATCTAGGCTACATTAGGTGAACTGTTTAAGCAGCTGACTGGATGGATGAGCAGTTTTACAAGCTAACATTTATGTTACTGTCAATCTTTAGTTAGCTTCTGAGTTTAGCTAGCCACATAGATAAAATAAATTTACACACTGATATCTTAAAGTTAGCGTTACATGGATCATAATTTATTTCACCGCGGAGTACGTGTTAAGCTGCAGTTACGCTAACAAACGTAAACTCACCAGCTGAAGCACACAGAGCCGTCCTCGGAGTTCTTTGATGAAGAGTCTGGTCGTGGAGATAATGAATCAGGACGTTCAGGCTCTCACAGGCTGACTTTAATGCTGAGGAGGAGGGGGAGGCTGCTGAACTCTCTCCTCGCAGAAAAACACGGAGCAACTTTCTGCAGCGTGTGTTGTCGAAGCTGTTCGACAACATGCGCTGCACACGTGAACCCGTCTGTGGGCGTCACCAGCACCGTACACATACATTACAGTATACATAGATTGGGTACGGCAGCTCTATACAGCTCTGGGTGTAATCTGGGTGTAGTCTGTTTGTCATATGTCTGGTGTTTTACCAGCCTGCATGCTGAAACCACGTGACATGTTACAGCCAATACAGAAACTTGACACCGAAAGAAGAGTGACGTTTCGATACATACACCGACCGGTGCAGTTCGGTCGGTGCCATAAAAGAACCTCGGTTCGGTATTCGGCCCTATACAGGACTGCCTTCTTAGTTTAGTGTATTTCTTGGTTCATTTTTCAGATCATATTACCGTTTTTCTTTTACAATTTATACTTTTGGTGGATGCAACTGGAACCCTGTGTACACAAGTTTGTTCTACTACATGTACCACACATGATGCAAATGACAATAAAGAAGCCTTGACCTTGACATGTATGAGGACAGCAGGACAGTGATGAGATGTGCTGTAGGAGTGACAGATAGCTTCAAGGTGGAGGTGGGAGTGCATCAAGGATCTGCTCTGAGCCCCTTCTTGTTTGCTCTGGTGATGGATCGACTAACAGATGAGGTCAGGCAGGACTCCCCGTGGACTATGGTGCTTGCAGATGGCATTGTGATCTGTGGTGAGAATAGGGAACAGGTGGAAGAGAACTTGGAGAGGTGGAGGTATGCACTTGAAAGAAGAGGAATGAAAGTCAGCCGTAGTAAGACAGAGTACATGTGTGTGAATGAGAGGTAGGCTGGTGGAACAGTGAGGCTACAAGGAGCAGAGGTCACAAAGGTGCAGGACTTCAAGTACTTGGGGTCCACTGTTCAGGAAAATGTGGAGTGTAATAAAGAGGTGATAAAGAGAGTCCAGGCAGGATGGAGTGGATGGAGAAAAGTTTCAAGAGTGGTGAGACCAGCTATTGTATGATCTGGAGACAGTGACATGGACAAAAAGACAGGAGACAGAACTGGAAGTGGCAGAAATGGAGATGTTGAGGTTCTCCTTAGGAGTGACAAGGATGGATAAGATTATGAATGAGATCATCAGAGGTACAGTACAAGTTGAACAACTGGGAGATAAAGTTAGGGAGGCCAGACTGTGATGGGCTGGACATGTCCAGAGGAGGGACAGTGGGTATTTTGGGAAAAGGATGTTAGAAATGCAGCTGCCAGGAAAAAGACAAAGAGGAGATGTATGGATGCAGTTAGAGAGGACATGGAGGTAGTTGGAGTGAGGACAGAGGATGCAGAGGACAGAGATAGGTGGGGAAGGATGACTCGCTGTGGAGACTCCTGAAGAGGGAGCAGCCTAAAGAAAAAGAAAAAAGAAACAATTGAAGGGAAAGTTTTTTATTTTATTTTTTTTTAGCAAAGTTGTTTTTATAAATCAGAATTATGATGTCCAGTTAGCTTGTCTTCCCTGAGAAAATGTCTGTCCGGTATTTGAAGTTTTGAGTGTTTTCTACTGTGCAGATAAGATATTGACTGTTAATAATAACTCTACATGACTTAGGGTTGAAAGTAAACTGGATAAATCTATCGGATCCCTCAAATAACAAATGGACCCAGTTCACTGGGCTGCTCTTCTTCATATTTAAAAACCCATTTTCAGCACAAGTTTTCAAGCCCAGAGCTCAGCTTGCTTCTCTCTGTGGTTTTACTCCTTACCAAGTTATATTTGGTCACATCTCCTTCTAAGTATTTTCTCTCCTGTGGCCCCAGGTCAAGCATTTCCTTTAGGGTCCCACCTCACAGTCACAGTCACGGATCTGCTCCCCTCGCTGTACTTTACGCCCTCCCTCTCTTCACACCTACTGCTGGCTCATATATAAGTCCAGCTGCTCAGTATGGACCGTGTCAGCACTCGGGAGCCCCCCAAAAGAAGAGCCCACCTTCATCCGTGCAGAACGGAAGCAGCAGAGTACCTTTGCAGCTCTGATCCCGCCCCTCGCTGGGGGGTGGGGGGGAGCTGGCTCATGGACTTAGCGGAGCCCATCTCACAGTTGCCTGTCGGAGCAGCCCACCCCTCTCTCTCTGCAGTATGTATGTTGGACAGGGGATCACGTCCCAGCAGCACCGCACTTCACCGGTCAGAGCCCAGCTGCTCCGGAGCGGACGGTAACAGGCGGAGCGGAGGCGGAAAGGCCGGGGGGTGGGGGGTGACCCCAGGAATAACGCGGCATTAGAAGCACAGGGATCCGGGCTGCCTCTCTCTTTCTCCCTCTCTCTCTCTCTCTCTCTCACTCCCTCTTTCTCTCTCTCTCCTCTGAACGTGGACAATCATGCATGTGCTCTTCTGGGGCTTGGGCTTCCTACTGCTCCCGGATTTCTTGAATGTAGTCGCATCCGCGGGGAGATTGCTTTGGAGTTCACGCGCAGGTAAAGTTGAGATAGTTCCCCTCTGGGCTCGTTGTGTCCACCCAGGGGCAGAGAATGAATGAAAGCGCAGTTCCCTGCCTCTGTCCCCTGCAGCGGCGTGAAGTCACAGATCCATGAAGTGATGTGTGAACCTCTGACTCCAAGTAATCCATTCATTGTCTCCACAGAGCCGGAGGAGCTGGGCGCGTATGAGATTGTGACGCCGCAGCGGGTGAATGAAGCCGGTGACAAGTTGCCAACCAGCGCGCATTTCAGGAGGAAGAGGAGAAGTTTGGACGAAGTTCAGACGGAGCTCTGGGACTCGGATCACGTCCACTACAGGATATCTGCCTTCGGGAAACACTATCACCTCAACCTGACGCTGGACGCGGGATTTATTGCTCCTCTGTACACTGTGACCGTACTAGGAGCGCCCCAAGGAGCAAACAGGACAGATGCGGAGGGAGAGGGGAAGGAGAGGGGGGAGGAGGGGGAGGAAGAAGAAGAGGACACGGAGTTAAGGCACTGCTTTTACAGAGGACATGTAGACGCACAGGAACAACACGCAGCCGTCATCAGCTTGTGCTCCGGACTGGTGAGTTTTTACGCACGGTCACGGCGCACACGCAGGACCACGTCACACCTGGGTGTTTCACTCAGTCCACTACAGGTGTTCATGAGCCATCACCTCTATAACTTCTATTAAAACTTAACAAAAGTGCTTTGACATTTCTGGAAAATGTATTTATTTATTTACTCTTGCGCACGCTCTTCTTTTCTCCGCATATTTACACACGACGTCTTTTGTTTTGACTCAGATAAATGACCAATAGATACATAAACTTGTTAAAAAAATGAAGAGTGTTTGCGTTCAGCATCCAGGGTCAAGTTCAGTTGCCACTCCGTGTCTCCGCGAGTTGGTGACGTCTTTACGCACGCTGTACGGCTGCCTCTGACGTCATCATAAACTGATTCAACTCGCAGGGCTGCTGCTGCACGAGTTTCTGTGTGGATCGAAAGTGCACGCTGCAGAGTGCATAGTAGAAACAGTGACACATTTAAACATGCAGTGAAATGTTTTTAAATGGCAAACGAGATGGAAAGTGTTTGGAATGATCTACTCAAGCAATTTTTTTTTTTTAATAAAGCCAATTTATAAATAAGTAAGTAAGTAAAGTAAGTAAGTAAGTAAATAAGTAAGCAAGTAAGTAAATAAGTAAGTAAATAAGTAAGTAAGTAAGTAAGTAAGTAAGTAAAGTAAGTAAAGTAAGTAAGTTAGTAAAGTAAGTAAAGTAAGTAAGTAAAGTAAGTAAAGTAAGTAAGTAAATAAATATCACTTCAGGGCACTATACCAAAAAATAAAACTATTCCAAATCATTAATCTAATTCAAATCCTAATTGAATTTTAAACATAGACAATATGTTCACACAAAGTTTATACAATGCCAATTAGTAAAACTTATCTATCTAAGGAAAGAAAGCTCTGCCTCCTATTCTACTTTTAAAACATCTAGAAACCACATGTAAACCTGCAATATAGGACTAAAGTGCTCTGTTTGGAAAATATAGAACATGACGACCTTTAGGATGGAGCTTGGTTGTTGGGCGCTTTGTATATTAGAAAGATTTTAAATTTCATTTGGCTGTTTTGCAGCAATCTGCAGCTCAGTCACATGTATGGCCCATATGTTAGTGTACGTTTAGGGCCTCTGAGGGCACATGCATTCTCAAACAGACATTAATGCTTTTGGAGTGTTTTTTTTTTTTTACCTTCTTAACACCCTTGAATAAAATGTTTTCAGATTATCATTTCTGCCATACTAATATGACTTTGCCCTGTATGATGCTTGTGCCAAGATTTTTTCCTCCTGAGCTGCTCTGTTGGTTGTTCACAGCAAAGGAGCAACAAGTCAAATGTTGCTGGGCTGGCATAAAGATTATCTGAAACATCACAAACCTCAAAGTCACGCTTAACATGCCTTGAGAAATACACAGGCTCTGAGGCCAAAAGCATTTATTCTCAGGGTTTTCCTGATAAATCGTAACAGGTGTGCTTTGATTCCTTCCCTTGTGATTCAGGCATCATTCGTAAATGCGTGCAAATTCCCCCATTTCATCTGTTTATACGAACTATTATTTCCAGAATGTACATTTGTTCTAACAACTTGTGAATAAGTTCATTTCTACTGATGTTTGCAAAAAGCATGGATGCGAAGCATGTTCAGCAAAATCTTGGACTGTTTTCTAAAATGCACAGATTCAGCGTATAAGTTGTTCATTTAAAACTTTTTGTTCACGATGTGAGGATGTGAGAAGATCATTTTCGAAAACAAATATAAAATTGGATAATAGTGGCATACTCAAAGTTGAAAGAGAGCCATAAAAAAAAATCACACAAAATGTCATGAAATCCACAATTAAAGTTGTAACTTTGTGGAGAGGCGTCTGCATAATATTTAGATACAATCTGGTCAGAGGAAGCCTGAAGGGGTAAAAACTAAAACTGCAAATCGCTGCTTCAAACACAAAATCATCACATTATTATATCAATATCACCACATGGGAGTGGAGTTATATGAAAAAAATCCCTGTCACTCAGCAGAGTCTCCTGCTCCATCCTGAAATGAAACTTGAGATGCTCTGCATGCAGGAAGCCATATATCAACTCTGCACAGAAACACTGCAGCTCTCTCTGGGTTTGAGCTCTTCGCAGATGAACAGAAGGACTTTCAGGACTTTGCTTTGGCGAAAAACTTTGGTGTCTGTGTGGAAAAGATGAAAAAGAGCATCCAGGTTGTTATCAGGCATTTCTTTTGCGAAGGTTCCTAAATCTTAAATTAAATAAAAGTGACACACTTGTATCTTATCTTTCCCCATAAGGATGCAGAGGTGTGTGTTTAAAGCTTTGAAGAGACTACCATCAAGGTGACATCTTTCCCCAGGAGGTCCAGTTAGATGCAAATCATTGTTCCCAACTTCCAACAAATGGTAGAGCTTCAGGGAGTTTGTGTTTCATTGCCTGTATCCCAGGTCTGTCTCTTATTATAAATGTGTAAATCATCATGAAGACACGAAGGAGGTGGCAACCACAAGCTGCTGAGCAGCTCAAATCTTGTACCCAATAAACACAGACCGCTCTACTTAAGCTGCAGCAGCAGGTATCCTTCATTTATAAAGGTGTAGGCTGAGAAAAAGACCTGCTATAACCTGTTTACTATTATATTATGTATTTAGTAACATTTATCCATTTCCTGCTCCTCTCAAACCCAGCCGGTCGAAGCAGATGGCCGCTTGTCCTGGGTCTGGTTCTGCTAAAGGTTTCTTCCTCATGAGGGAGTTTTTTCTTCCCACTGTCGCCTTCATGTTTGCTCAAGATGAGAGTTCTGTGATGGAGTTAAATTCAAAGCAGTCTGCTCCTCAAATAAATAGTGTTAAATTATTATTTTATAAATGAATGTTTCTGTTCAGTGCCCTGAGATGATTTCTGTTGTGACTTGGCACAAAAAAAAATTGAATTGAATTGAATGTTTTCATTTAATTTGCCCTTTATTTATACAGGTAGTCTCATTGAGTCATGCGAACTCATTTTCAAGAGAGACCTGTTTTTTTGGGAGCAGATGGTGGGATTTAAGGACCTTGCTCAGAGGCCCCGGGTGGGACAAGTAAGGGTGGAGGCAGGTGTGGGTATTTCACCTTTTCCACCTACATTTTTGATGTAGACGGTACCGGGAGTTGAACCAGCGACTTTCCGATCACAGGCCCATTTTCTGTAATCTCTGTGCCACCACTCCCATAGGGTCTCAGAAAAACCTGGTATAGGGTCCCAGAGAACACTGGGTCTAGGTCATCTAATGAATTAAATGGTGTACACTGCATAGGACCGCGCACAGAGCCCTGGGGAACACCATGACTTGAGAAGTTGAAAGTGTGGTGCTTGTCAAACGACGGAAATGTGATTCAAAGCAGAGACAAGTCCCAGGCGTCCACATAGAGACAAAGACAGGAGTTAACATTGAGATGGAGAGGATAAAACTAAACGTTGCAACTTCTAGATAATTAAAGACAGTAGACAGAAAACAGGTGCATATGCAGAGATTTAAGTGTTCATGAAGGTGATATCAGGTAAAACCCAAAGGTCAGGACCACTTCAGGTGTCCTGAGATCCAGAGACCATGTTATATTTATTTTAACCTCCTGGGTCCTGAGCGTTTGCTTTGTGTGCATTTTTAGTTTTTCCCAGCATGTTGGGATTAGTTGGAACTCATAAACATAAAAAGAAACATATTTTCTTTTATCGTTTTAGCAATGAGTAGTAAAGCATTTCAAAAATACATATTATATTAAAACATGGCAGCACGGTGGCGCAACTGGTAGAGCTGCTGCCTCTCAGCGAGCAGGTCCTTGGTTCAAACCCCGGTCCAGGGGCCTTTCTGGGTGGAGTTTGCATGTTCTCTCCGTGCATGCGTGGGTTTTCTCCGGGTACTCCGGTTTCCTCCCACAGACCAAAAACATGCATGTTAGGCTGATTGGTAACTCTAAATTGTCCCTAGGTGTGAGTGAGAGAGTGAATGGTTGTTTGTCTCGTTTGTCTCTATGTGGCCCTGTGATGGACTTGCGACCCGTCCAGGGTGTCCCCCGCCCCTCGCACAGTGATTGCTGGACATGGGCACCAGCGACCCCCGTGACCCAAAATGGAATAAGCGGGTAAAGAAAATGGATGGATGGATGGATATTAAAACATATATAAAAAAAAATTAATGTGTCTGAGTTGAACAGAATGAAATAATATGATGCAGAAAGCCAAAGACATCGGACGAAAATGCACCAATTTAAGAAATCAATCACATTTATTATACTAACTTTCTTGCAAAATGATTTTCTTTTTATATGATTGTCTACTGTTCTCATCTGTGTTCTTTGTTTAAAACAGGGCTCTCTGGTAAACGAGTCCTCGGGGCTCATTGAGACTAACCTGTATAAATAAAGGTTTAATGAATTTTGCTATTTACTGGGAAATGACAAGCCATCATTCTGGAAACTTAGTTGAACATTACTGTCTCGAATGATGACACATTTGTGTGTTTTTATATGTATATCCAGTCTTTACCTAATGAGAAGAATAAACCTTTAGTTTATGGTCAGTATAGGAAAAAGTGTCACACTAAAGAACCTCAAACATAAATCTGACCTGGAAAACCTGCAGCTTTAAAAATATGAGCTCTCCATCCAATGCCCCCATACCCCTGCAGGCCCAAAGATGTCCTCACTGGGGCTGGAAGTGCATGGTCCATGAACCAGAATTGATGTTCTTTAATATAAATAAATGGGTGATGTCACACAATGGTAAACCTGGTCCTCTAAGCTTTGTTTAGCGTGCTGCTGGAGTCAAACCCCATATTTGTTTGTCTGGCGTTGCTCATGAAGACATTTAAAGTAGTTTCCTTTGTCCCTGCATCTGTCACATAAAAACTAAATGTAAGTTTGGCTTTCTTGAAAGGTATTTGTGTTTCCTTCAACAAATTAATGACATCAGATTTAAATGGCAACGCTCATAGCTCACATCAAAACTATTTAGAGCTCATCTGTAACCCCTTCTTTTCTCCCATTAAGAAATATTTACAGAAACGAGACTGATGGAGACTAACTGCTCTGCATCTTTCTTCTCCCCGCTTGCTAGCTTGGCACTTTCAGGTCTCCAGATGGGGAGTACTTTGTGGAGCCCCTGCACAGCTACGAAGGGGAACACTTCGAGGAAGAACACACAAAACCTCACGTCGTGTACAAGAAACGTGCATCAAAGAACCACACGTCTGAAGCAACCTCGGCTTGTGACACTTCAGGTGTGGCATACACATGCATGCAGACAAATCCTTAAAACTATGCCAAAACTCAAGAAGCTCCACATGTGCTGCTGTGAGCCTACAGCTGGCTCCACTGTTCGTCAGCTGACCTAAATATCTGCTCCAGTCACCCCTCACCCTGTTAGTGACGCTGCCTCGGAGCAGGGACCTCCCAGTGGCTGGGCTTCAAAACACTGTGTGCATGTGATTGCTTTTTATGTGCGTGGAAGGAAGTGTGTGGTTTGTGTGTGAAGACTTTTTCCATATGTGTGCACCACTGGTTCCCATGGACGTGATCAGGTGTGGAAACAGGCTCCACTCTCAGTTGTAAGGAGCTGATTATGCAGCAGAAACTTAAAAAAAAATAAAATAAATTGAGTAGATAAAAACACGTTTTTTCCTATAGATTAAACCGCTCTTAGGCTCTGATTAAAACCTGGAGCGCAATGAATGAATTAAAGTGAAAGTACAGAAAAAAATACCTATGCACGTTGCAGTTCCTGCCTCGTCACAGCAGCGAGGAAGCTGTTCAGCTCTCACACATGAACAAAAAACAAAAAACTTTGGAAGTTCACCCTTGTATCGCCCCATCTCAGTTTACTGGCTGAACTTCCTGTTGACTCTTGGACTTCCTCTGGTTCTTTGATAAGCAGCTCGAGTGGACCCTCTACGGCGAGCGCGTTGTGTAAACTGTGTAACGGAGAAGCAACGCCAACTTAAAACAGTCAAATAATCAAAACCAAGTCAAACAAATGTTGAATGTTTTCGTCTTCTTTGTCTGCTGGAAATTGTTGGGCAGAAGTTTGGTGTCACTGTGTACGGAAATGTTTCTGTTGCGTTTGATTCCACAATTCAGCAGAAAAAACACCCCTAACCTAGAGGAAAATGCACTAGAAAAAACAGGTCTGTAGTTGAAAAGCATTCAATCCTTTAATATACAAACATTTACCTACTTCAATTAGTGCAAGTTGAACGTTATTATATTTTTACGAGTTTTTAGCTGATAATTGTAGTTGATAGAATCGTGTTTGATGCGTTTGAATGATGCGTAATTTCACATTTGAATCGGAAACATTGTAAATTGCATGAACTTAACTGTTCAAGATGGGCAATTAATTGTTGCTATGGAAACTAAATTGCCCTTTTCCATTGATGCGATTTAGAAAAACGAAGCAGCTCGAAGGTCCCTTGAGCAGAACTTGTCTATAAGGCAGCGTCTCAAACAGCAAAAACAACTAACACCGTGTTTCTGCAGAAATCAGAATCACCAGAAGACGATCAGGCGAGTTCTGGACGTTCCAAGTCTACACTTGTAGATTTTAGTGTAAAAAAAAAAAAAAAAAGCACAAACTTACTTTTAGTTCTGCCAAATCAGCCGTTTTCAGTGTGCTTTAAAAATGCTGCAGCAGCAAACAAGTCAAGTCAGTTTTATTGCCATTCTCATCACATGTGGTACATGAGGTGGAATGAAATTATGTGCACAGGGTCCCAGTTGCACCTGACGATAGAAACAATATAAAGTGTAAAGAAGAAACAGTATATAAACAACAGTGAACATGTTAAAAACATCCCATAGTAACACGCACGGGTGTGATGATAATTATTAGATGGCTTTCTTATAAAATACAGCAGAAGTGGAAACTGTCAAAACTTTCTTGAGACTTTTTATTGCACTTTTCTGTTCTTGTCCACCTCTGTTATTGACAGCCAATCTTGTAATTGCCAGCGTGTGTGTGCATGCGTTTATTTGTCCAGCTGTTAGCAAAATATCTCTTGGACTATTGGACAAATTTGATAGAAAAATCAGCAAGTACTCAGTGAAAACATCTTCAGCTTGTTAACTTTTAGTCAGCCTGATTTAAGTGGGCTGCTGCCGCCGTTAATCAACTTTAGCAATCACAAAAATGTCTCTAACGCCCTCATTTTACAGATATTGAAGTGTTGAGTGTGGTAGTAGCTGAGAGTCATCACAGCCACACAGTCCAAATGTTAACAGATTGCTCAGTTTCAAACTTTGACCATGCAGGGCAGTGGGTGATATGCATTCTTTAACGGAACTATGGTAAACTTTAAATTGTTTGTGTCATTACCATTCAGAGGAAGTTTTCTGTGTGCAGACAAGACAATACTGAATGCACTTTATATATATATATATATATATATATTTATTTATTTTATTTTTTTTGGTGGGATTGTGAGTTGAATCCAAAGAGAATGGAAGATAAATCTAATGTGACCTTGTGGGGTTTTATGCATTATGAAAACACTGTATATTTTTAATAGATGATGATTAAAGCATTCCTTAAGAGGTTTTGGTTCTCACGTTGAGAGCAGTCCAGTCAGTGTACTGTACGTGCACAGCAGTTTGTTAAATCTTTGTGTTGCTGTTGGTTTTTATGGCTGCGCTTCAGGCTTACCTATCAATCAAGCAATCACCTTTATTTCTAAAGCACGTTTTAAAAAACCGCAGGGGTAGTCAAAGTGCTGTATAATAAGACAAAAATAGATTAAGACAATAAAAACATACCAAGCATACACAAAGAAACATAAAAATATACACATACCAGGTTCATAGCAGGTGTGTATTAAGGTGCCATACACGATAAGGTCATGGTGTGTTAAAAAAAAAAAAGAATAAAAGTGTGTTTTTAAAAGAGATTTAAAAACGGGAAGAGAAGAGGCCTGTCTGATACTCAAATGTAAATTGTTCCATAACGTGGGAGCAACAACAGCAAATGCTCTGTCACCTCGCTTGAACCCTTTGCCCTTTTCTTCTTCTTCTGGTTTCAAAGTAAAGGGAGAGAGAAAAACAGGCACTTCAGTCAGTAATCATCTGTCAACACAATCTTTGAGCGGCGATAAATACAACAGAGAGGCAGCAGCATAAAGCAGGCGTCTGCAGTGTTAAAGCCATGACCCATAAACGTTGCTTCATTCAAACCACATTCTCTCAACAAACAATGATTTAGGTCTTGTCTTTTTTCTCTGAGTGTGTATTTATTCATGCATGCCCTCATTCCCCTCTGGTTTCTCACTTTAGGACACAAACACCGACATAAGAGACACAAGCTGAAGAGGACGCCAGCCACCGGGGTCACCGCTGTCTCCCAGCCTGAAGTCAGAACCAGTATATTCAACGACCTGGAGTCTCTGAGCGTCAGCCTGGCCGGTAACGCTCGGCTCAAATCCGAGCAGGGCATTAGCAGCACTAGACCATCAAATGATAGCAGCGGGGACTCAGGACCTCACAGGAGATCAAAGCGTTTCCTCTCCTACCCGCGCTTTGTTGAAGTCATGCTGGTCGCCGACAGCAAAATGGTGGAGCATCATGGCAACAACCTGCAGCACTACATCCTCACGTTAATGTCCATAGTAAGTTTGGCTGTGGTCAAAGGAGGTTTGTGAAGATTGCTGCAGTGTGTGTACCTGTTCTGGCTGCAGGTCAGTGAGCCTTTGAAGGTGGCTTGTGGTCGGGAAAAGGGCAGCACAGGGCAGGGGTAAACAGATTTTTTTTTTTTTTTAAAAAGCAAGATTTAAAAGAAGACAACTGGGGGGAGAGTCTGTCTGACAGCTTTGATAAATGTTAAAAAATAAGCTCAGGTATGTTGCAAAGACCACTTACTCCCAGCCACTTCAAACAGCTGCTTCCACAGGCTTCTGGGGCTGGCGGTCTTCAGGGGGAGGTTAAGATGACCTATATTTTGTTCTTAGGAAAGGCTTCTTTTTGTTCAATGGCTCGGGCTGCTTTTTATGTCTATTGAAACTGCAGACAGAGAGCTAACACTTATTACTACTAAATACAACCCCAGTTCTGAAACACTGTGTAAAATTTAAGTTAAAACAGAACACAACGCTTTGCACATCTCGAAAATCCAATTTTTATTCACAATAAAACATAGTAAACATAACAAATGTTTCAAATAAGAAATTTGCTGATAGCGCCTCAGAAAATTTAGGACAGGCAGCAAAAGACTGGAAGCTGGAAGAGCATTTTGCAACAATTTAGGTTAATTGAAAAAAACTGTATTAAAAGAACATTTTAGAGAGGCTAGTTCTCTTAGATGTAAAGATGGGTAGAGGTTTTCTGGTCTGTGCAAAAAAACTGTCTAAAAAAAAATCAGAATAATGTTCCTCAATTAAAATTTGGGGCAACTTTGAATATGTTGTCATTTATAGTTAATACTATCATCTAAAGATTTGAAGAATCTTGAGAAATCTCTCAGCTCTAAGGACCAGGTGGAAATTCTATATTGGATGGCCGTGATCTTTGACCCCGTAGGCAGCATAACATTAAACGCAGGTCTGGTTCTGTTATGGATCTGTGTAGAACACCAACCAGAAACAACGCTGTGATTTTGGAGACAAACTTATGGTTGGATCAACTAAAAGTTGAATTTCTTTGGACGCCACATCCTCCATACTAAAGAGGAGACGAACCATATGGCCTGTTGTCAGGCAGTTCAAAAGCCTGCCTCTCTGATGGTATAGGGGTGCATTAGTGCCCATCGTATAGGGAGCTTACGCATCTGGAAAGGCACCACCAATACAAAAAAAGTATATATTTACAGGTTTTAGAACAACATATATTTCCATACAGACATAGTCTTTCTCTGGGAAGGCCTTGCAGATTTCAGGAACATAATGTGAACTCCACACTGCATCCATTACAAAAGCACGGCTTTATAGTAGAAGAGTTTGTGTGCTGAACTGACCCGCTTTTGATCGTGAACCAGGACATTCAGCAAAGACCAGACTGTTGCACAGCTAGAATCCTACGTCAACCCTCCATATGCATATTTGTATATTCATTTATATTAAGCTTAATTCCTGTCTCGTGTTCAAACGAGACGCAGAGATTTAAAGTTGCATTTTCTTCTCTTTTCCAGGTTTCTTCCATCTACAAGGATCACAGCATAGGCAACCTGATTAACATTGTGATCGTTAAGTTAGTGATAATGAACAACGAGTTGGTAAGTCTTGTTGCATCCACCACAGTTTGCGTTCCTATCCGAGGTGACCGCTTCCTTTGTGTGTTTGTTTCTCAGGACGGTCCAGTCATCTCCTTCAACGCACAGACCACTTTAAAGAACTTCTGCATCTGGCAGCAGAGTCAGAATGTCTTGGATGATAGCCACCACTCCCATCACGACACAGCCATCCTTATCACCAGGTGCAGGGGAATGGTCCAGACTCCTTCTCCTCTTGAGCTCTTTGAACATGCTTTTAAGTCTGAAAGATCAGAATTATCCAATAAACAAGAGGATAAGTGCATCAAAAAAGTCTGATCAAAGGGAAGACTTTAAAGGTTGCTTGTTTGCCGTTTACCACAATCTGTTTTCTTCACTTACAGGCAAGACATCTGCAGAGCGAGGGATAAGTGTGACACCTTAGGTAAATGGGTATATTTAAAAAAAATGAATTGAGAAGCCGTCATTTTGACGATTGCATCCTTTAGGGAAACTGAAGTAAGTCTTGTGTTGCTCAGGACTTGCAGAGCTGGGTACAGTGTGTGATCCGTACAGAAGCTGCAGCATCAGTGAGGACAATGGGCTCAGCACGGCCTTCACTATAGCCCACGAACTCGGCCATGTGTGAGTACATCCATCGTGCTTCTGCTCAGTGTTTACATCAGATGACTCTGAGTCCAAAAAAAGAGAAAAGCTCTGGCAACACAGAACACATGGATTCTTGTGTGTGCTCTTGTGTACCTTCTGACGCCCAAAACAAGTCTGTCTTTTATTTTGAAACGGGGAAAAAAGACTATAAATTGCATTGTTTCTCAGAGTTTATGCTTTTCCCATCAACTCTGGATTATCCAAAGTCCAGCGTCACCCTGAACCAGGGGTGCTAGTTCTCTGCAGCGGAGGCTGTTACAGGCTGAAGGTGAACAGCTCAGCAGGCAGCGTCCTGCTGTAGCCGTACACCACGGATTGCAGTTTGCCTTCTTACATGAGCTTAACTCTCTCCCCTGTAAATGTGCCAGTGTTTAAGCAGTGAACCACTCATATTATTACTCACTTGTTAAATTTTCGTGTCCATCAGGATCATTGATTTTCTACTCATTCCTCAGTTTTGTAGAAATCCATACAAAATACATCAAAACATGCAGCTCAATCAGGAACAGTGTGAAGTGATTTTTTGGAAGCAGACCTCTGCATGGTAGACAAAAATACACAATAATTGAAATCTGGCAAAATGAGAGAAAACTTAAAGCTCTTAAAAGCTCTAAAGTTCAGGTAATAAAACAGGATTTAAAGTTTAAACAAGTCACATGACAGAAGTGGCTTTGGCAACATGTTAAACTTAGTGAAATGATGTAATGTTTGTGTCATCAAAACTTTTGTAAACATCCTTATTTCCACAAACTCCACACATCTTATCTGGTTTATACATCAAAATGTAGGTGTTTGTTTTGCGCAGTAAACTTCTCACTGCTATAGGACTGATGTTTATTTCTCAGATCCCAAATCTCAGTCTGAACTCAGAATTATTTCTTTCATAACTGAAGTAGTGTTTTTTTTTACTTGTCTTGTTCCTTATATAAAATACTGTAAACATGCAAAAATTATATTACATGTAAATTACAGCTTCTTTATTTTTCTATATGATTATTAGATTTTTTTTTTTTTTACACTAAACTAATGTTTGAGCCTTTATTAACTCTGAGTTCCTGTCTGCCAGTTTTGTTAGGAGTAATGTCAGGGAGTGAAAGACACAGGTGTGTTGTTACCATGGTGATCCTAATGAGTCACTACCAGCAACTTTAGCATTTTTAAAATTTTGGTTCTTGTTACACCCTGTTGTTACATCATCTTAGACTCCTAAGTAACAAGTTGTTGATGCTTTTAAGGATTAAATTATGAACATTTAAATTCCAGGCAGTAGCTGAAATGGCACCCTTCAAATTTTTTTCAAGGTGTCTTTGCAAACGTTCAAAATGCAAAACATACAAACATTCATGAACTAGTTTCCTAAAGCCAATGTAACAGTAACAATGGAAACAATTTTGATTAAAGATCCTGCTTGATAAATGCTAAAATGTTATAAAATTAAATTAAAATGTTATATATCCTGAAAGAATTAAACCCTTTATTGCTTTAAACCTTGATATTTGGTGCAAAACTACAAGAAAAATGACAGGAAATTGTTTTGTTCTGCAAAAGTTTTTGTAATCCAGTTTTTGTTTACCACACTTGAATGTGTTTTCCAGATTCAACATGCCTCATGACGACAGTAACAAGTGTAAGGAGGACGGAGTGAAGATCCAGCAACATGTGATGGCTCCCACGCTTAATTACAACACAAACCCTTGGTTGTGGTCCAAATGTAGCAGGAAGTACATCACAGAGTTTCTAGAGTAGGTCGCACTGTTTTCTTCACCCCTCTTACTAGTGTGCATCTGGCAGAATGTTAAAAATTAAAAATCACTTTGCAAATCTGGTCAAACGATATTTAAAATACATTATTTTATATACTGTATAAACTTACCATATTTTTCGGACTATAAGGCACTTAAAGTCATTTAATTTTCTTAAAAATCAACAGCGAGCCTAAAACATAACTTTTATACATAATAATACATATTATTAAACATATTAATATTGTATACATCAGGGGTGCCCAAACTTTTTCACTGCGAGGGCCAAATTTAAAATCTTATCAGAGGACTCGGGCCAAATGCAATAATATAATGCATGAAATGCAAAGACATCTTTAAGTAAAGTCCATTTATTTTTATACAGCTATTTAACCTTCCATTCTGTATAAAGAACTTTACAGAACCCAAAATATAACAAATATGTAAGTCGTATATAAGAAATTCAAACAAATATTGAAATTTTGGCATTTCAGTATAATTATTTGTAGTGTAAAATGTCAAAAAATGCATGTCCAACAGCAACACAAATTAACAGCAACAATAATATGAACATAAATAAACAGTCCCATATATACGGGAGTCAATGTGCCGACTTTTCCATCTAACATTAAAGTCAGTGGAATGACTGAGTGAAAACGCATTGATTCTTCAAAGGAAATTTTAATATAGTAATGAAGACTGCTTGGCGGGCCAACCCAAATGGCTTGGCGGGCCAACTTTGGCCCGCGGGCCCCACTTTGGGCACCTCTGCTATACATATTAATACATAAGGTGCACCTGATTAGGTATGCCTTGTGTATTAATTCTGGTTGTTCTTACTGACCTCGAACCGATTTTATGTGGTTATTGTGAATGAGTTGAATAAAGTTTGACTTATCCGACTCTTAATGTGCCTTATGTATGAAACCAGACCCGTTCATTGACATTGCGTCGTATAATCCAGCGCGCCTTATAGTCCGAAAAATACGGTACCAGTTACCCATGTACATACAGCAGTGGGATTTTTTTTTTTTTTTTTTTTGTCAGCAACAAAAATGAGAAGTCCCAGGAAACTTACTATAAGATCCCTGCAGCTACGCAGACGCTTGTCAAGCTGTTCTGTATATGCACAGAAAACGACCCAACTCCAGCTGTACTGAGTGTGCTCTCTGTCTGTTTGTGACTCGTTTTCTCTCTTTTTTTCTTTTAAGTCATTTCGTTTTTATTTCTCAATAGCACAGGATACGGCGAGTGCTTGCTGGACGAGCCCGTGTCTCGGCCGTACAGTCTGTCGCAGCAGCTGCCCGGGCGGATATACAGCGTCAATAAACAGTGCGAGTTGATATTTGGACCTGGAACGCAGTTGTGCCCTTACATGGTGAGTGGAGTCATCAGGAAGCTTGTTGTTGTAATCTGGAAGTGGTTGTCAGCTTAAGTTAAAGACACTTGCTGTATTTCAAAACATCAAACGATTCTCTCTGAAATACAAGTAAACTGAAAGATGTATGATGTTAAACTTACGGGAACATTTCAAAGAAAGAGATAAGACAAAAATTGAATTAAATTGGTATATTTCATTTGTAAATGTTAAAAAGTCTTCAAAATCGGCTCAACATAATTTATATTACAGCGTTTTCCGTTGTATAAGTTGCTCTGGAGTATAAGTCGCATAGTCAAAAAAAAAAACATCACAGAGGAAAAAAACATGTAAGTCGCATTTATTATGCATTTATTTAATGGTCAAAACAGCTTGATTTTGCCTGGGCTGTGTGGCGCCATCCATCCATCCATCCATCCATCCATCCATTCATCCATTCTTCATGGCTGGAGCCACTGGCTCTCCAGCGTTCCTCCGCCTGCACCAGCTGAGTGAAGCGAGTGGTCACGTTAGGACTCGCTGTTGCAGTTCTTAGAAATTTAAAGCGTCAGTCAAAAATTTCATTATGAATATGGAAAAATATGTATATAAGTCGCTTTGGCGTATAAGTCGCAGGACTGACAAATTTATGCAAAAAACGGTGACTTATACACCGGAAATTACGGTAGTTAAATGTTTTCTGCCCACCATGAAAAGTCTTGCAGGCTGAGAAACACCTGACCTATGCAATGTACTGAATCCCCTCTAGATACATAATTTTATAACGTAAGATAAGCAAACTGCTCAATGTGAGGGATGCCAGCACTAACAGATTGTTTGTGTTTGTGTGGGATTGTTAGAGTCAGTGTCGGAGGCTGTGGTGCACCAGTCCGGAGGGAGCCCAGAGGGGCTGCAGGACGCAGCACATGCCGTGGGCAGATGGCACCGAATGCTCACCTGGGAAGGTAAGAGTCATGTGGGCTTGTATGGGGGGAGAGTTCTGAAAAGTAAAAAAAAGTGTAAGTAAAAAGGTTCTGCAAAGATTAACTTTAGTTCATCCATCTATGTCAAAATGTATCAATATTTGTCCAAACGGGGGTCGTTTAAAAGCTATCTACAACAGGTAAGATATTAATTGTTCAAAACCTTTTCACAGAACCTCAAAGTAAAAGATCCAAACTATATATTTAATGGATAAATGTAGCTAAAAACCTATGGAGTCCTATTCTGTGCAGAGAAATACACTTTCATTTTTTACATAATGTTTTAAAACTTAAATTCCCCTTTTTTATATAAAGTTATGACCACACAGTTGTTCCTTATTAATGTATTACGTGCAAAATGACATCAAAAGACAAATTTACCAACATTTGCCAAAAATGACTTTTCTATCGGATTGAGTACACTTGTAAACCTTTAAATTGCTGGCATACAGAACTAGCATGAGGCCGATGGTTTCTCTCCAGGCGCCTGTCAGTGAGCAGCTTTGAATCTAAACTTCCTCACCAACATCTGGCTTTCTGTGAAAATGAACGGGCAGGAAATGATCCAAAAGAGTAAAACGAGTGCAAAAATAACTGAACGACACTAAAGACTTAAAGCAAAAGTTGTAATATAATTCTTTTGTATGGAGTTGAGTTTAATTTACTGACTATTTTGTTTCCTTCCAGCTGTGCTGTATCGTTTTTCCTTTTTCTGTTTGCTTCGCTAATTTCTTTCAGATTATAGTCGAAGCTCAAAGGAACAAACAGATCTGCTGCCAGATGTTGTGCATATATATTTATTGTTACACTGTCTGTTTTTTCAGTTTTATAGTTTAAATTCCTTTATTTTCTAGTACCTCTTCAGTGATTGCTCTTCCCTCTCTGTCCTTGCAGCACTGCAAACACGGCTCGTGTATAGTCAGAGAGCACAACACCGCGCCTGTGGAGGGGGCGTGGGGGGGTTGGAGTCCTTTCGGCACCTGCTCACGAACGTGCGGCGGCGGCATAATGATAGCGATGCGCGAATGCAACCAGCCCTTGTGAGTAGTCCGCTTCTTTGTAGTCATGCACGCCAGGTGAGGCTTGTTTCCGTCCTCCCAGCCAAAGTCAATGGTCCATAGATCAAACCAGTTTAAGGGGATTCTTTCCATAGCCAGTGTTCATCAGATCAGGCTCTCTGACAGCAGATCTTAAGGGGATGTTTCCAGATAAGTGAAGAGATCACTCACGTCACGAGTCATGTCTTTCATCCTGGATTAACAGGGTGAAAGAAAGAATCAAATTTAATGAGAAAGAGTTGGAAATGGAAAACAAACAGACAAGATCTGAAGAAGAGCTGACACAATTTCTAATTCCACCTGGAGGGAAGAATCTACTGAGACAGTTACATGAGCTGCGTTTTGGTGCTTTACCTGGATGTTTTCACTCTCAGGCCCAAGAACGGAGGAATGTACTGCGTCGGCCGCCGGATGAAGTTTCGTTCTTGCAACTCGGAGCCCTGCTCTAAACAAAAGAAGGACTTCAGGGAGGAGCAGTGTGCTGCTTTTGATGGCAGGCACTTCAACATCAACGGTCTACCTCCTAATGTTCGCTGGGTGCCCAAATACAGCGGAAGTAAGAGTCCCCCTTCTTTCTTCTCTTACTAAGAGCCCATTTAATAATGCATAATGAAAACCTTGCGATAGATTTGATCTGTATGAAGATTTTTGTTTTGTCTTCCTCTCAGTCCTGATGAAGGACAGGTGTAAGCTGTTCTGCAGAGTGGCGGGCAGCACGGCCTACTATCAGCTCAGGGACAGGGTCATCGACGGCACGCCATGTGGACCCGACACCAACGACATCTGTGTGCAGGGCCTGTGCAGGGTGAGGTTATTGAAAGTTCTGATTCGTTACGGTTCACATTCATCACTTCAGTCAGTGGTAAATGGTAAATGGACTGTACTTCTGTAGCACCTTTTTGTCTTAGCGAGATACTCAAAGCTCTTTACAACAACCTGTGTCCTCATTTACCCATTCATACATCACTCTACTAGATCTATACAGAGAATAATCAGAGCGTTATCACATTCATACACTGATGGGACACACATCGGAGGCAATGAGGGGTTCAGTCTTGCTCAGGGACACTTCAGCATGTGACTGCTGGTGGACTCGAACACCCAACTCTGGCATTGGAGGACGACTGCTCTCAGCACTCAGCCACAGCCGCTCAGTGACTGTGTGGGGTTGATTTCCACATTCATTCAGCGAATATACTCGATCTTTTGCTGAAGCAGACTCTTCAAATGTTCAACCGCGATGTTTCAGGTTTGAAAGCTTGAATGCTGACATGCATGTGCACGTCCGCCTGCTTCTTAAAAGAAGCTGCGGTTATGTGTACACCCTGAACCACACACAGAGTTTTGATTTAACTGCGGCTCAGATGAATTGCTCGTCTTCTGGCAAGAGCTTTCCTCTTTTTTTTTTTTTTTTTTTAATCGAATAGTTGACAGAATAACCCCAAAAACGTGTTTTCAAAGCTGCCGGGGCTTTTTATTTCAATTTTGTGTTTTTGTTCATTTTGAAAGGATTTTAGTGAAACGACTCATTTAAAATGTTTATATGTAGCTAGATTAAAAGTTTAAATGTGTTCTTTTGTGATCTGTGTGTGTTTTTTTTAATGTAAGCAAGTTATTGATTCAGCGTTTTTTTATTTTTTTATTTTCAACGTTACTGCTACTTATGTGCTAATGAAAGAAAACATGCCTTTTTTCCAACACTACTTGTGTTTCTGCATTTTTCTGGAGCAGCAAGCAGGCTGTGATCACGTACTGAACTCTAAAGCCAGGAGAGACAAGTGTGGAGTGTGTGGAGGTGATAACTCTTCCTGCAAAACCGTAGCAGGCACCTTCAACATTGTGCACTACGGTGAGCTACGACCTCTTTTATGCCCCACCAGTCTCCATTCAGCACATAGAAATGAAAGTGGCTCTTATTGCACCGGTTCCATTGCCTTGACGTATTTGTTTTTGTGTCAGAACAGTCCGGGTGTACTCATTCGTTTGTGTACTGAACATATTTGCAGGCTATAATGAAGTAGTCCGTATACCCAGTGGTGCTACAAACATAGATGTGCGTCAGCACAGCTACTCAGGGAAACCGGAGGATGACAACTACCTCGGTGAGAAGATCCTTAAAATTTGTCTTGAATTATTACATTTTTATTCGTGATATTTTCTGAAGCTGGAAGAAGAAAGACCTCTTCTTTTACCGACATGTTTAAGGTAAAAGCACAAGCTCAGATCCTGTTGTAAAGTCACATAGTGCAAACTCGAGGAGTTAGTATAGTGTGCACTAAACTTTTAATGAGCTAGAGCTCAGTCTGTGCATGCATTTCCATCAAAGTCAGGCAGTTTGTCAGCTTTTGTGTCTTCTGCGTTCTCTGCTAATATAAATCCACGTCAGCTTGGACATTTTCTTTGTGTGTCTACGTCTACTGCAGCTGGACTGTATTCGTTCAGTGTGACATGCATCACCTTTCACTGTTTGTGCATTTTTCATGTGTGAGGATAGTTATTTTGCAGTCCAGGTTTTTTCAGGATGCTTGTCTTTTCTGACAGCTGTATTAGTGTAATGTGGCGAGGAAGGCAAAGGCAGGAAATTAGCTCCGTAATCGCTTCAGAGCAAATGAGAGCAGAATACTGGTTGGTGAAGAGAATGGGATGCCCCATGGTGGCACTTCTTCTAGGAAAGAGGATTATTTTAGTCCAGGGGTGTCAAACTCTGTAGCATGGAAGGAGGAGGCAAAACTAAAACCAGCTTGTGGCTGAGAGCCAACCTGGATCAATGTTATTGAAAATGATATATAGATTGACTGCAGTTTTACATGTATTGTGATTAAATATTCTTACAAATAATATAAATGACGTTTGCTCAAAACATTGAGAACGCATTCCAAACTTATTGATTAAAGAAAAATAATCACATTAATAAGTCATATTCTTTTCTTTTTATTTTTTGCCTCTCTTTCAGGCAGAAGTTTTTCAATTATCTCAGTAATACGTTTGATGACAATTAAAAAAAATCCCAACTTACAGATAATTACATTTTACTTTGAAGAAGGAAGAGAATTTAGGAAACAGTAAACACTTTTATGCAGACTTTGTTGCTCTAAAGTGCATTAGCTCCCAGCAGACACCTGTCATGTTCTAATGGCTTCAAGCTCATCAGTAAATGTTGATTGAATTCATCATCAAACTCAGCAAAATCAATGACTATTAAAACAAATCCAACTTGATTTTCTTGGCTTCAAAGTTGTTTAACGAGCAAAGTCTGCTTGTTTTCGTTAAGTAAAATGAGAAGTGATAAAGCCAATATATCACCGGGTTGTGACAGTTGGAGATGAACTGGTGACTCAGAATTGTGAGAAACAGACGCATTTTCAATCCCAGTCCCTCTGAGTTTTGAGCGTTGACCAGCGAGCTGCACAACCACATTTGAAATGGCAAACATTTGGAAATAAAAGCCTGATTTTGTGTGCACAGCTTGCAAAACTGCATTCTAGACCGTGCACGCTGTTTTGTTGATGTGTACCCATCTTGGCTGTCACCTCCATGTTTATGGATGTTTATCCATTAAAGTACACTTTAGAAATCAAGTTGAAGAAATTTGCACCAGTTTCTTCTTTTTTTTTTAAAACCCTAGAGCTGCCCTTAGATCAAACTGGCTCACATGACCTGTCTCAACACTGAAGCCTTGTGAGTTATTTTGACCCAAGGGCAGCAGGAGGGTTAAATATTTATTATTTATCGCCAGGCCTGGACACCCAAAAAGAGTCTCACAAGGAATTGAGAACTCCCATTGACGTTTTAAGACAATTTGAAAAACGTCTCTAAAAATGTCTACAGAGTCTCAGTTGATGAACAGGCAAGATAAAACTGCATCACGGACCATATCTGGCCCACGGCCCTTGATCTTGATCACGTGTTTATGCCTTATCAGGTTTTTAGTATTTGCTGTAAATCAGAATATAAACTACTGTCTCTTCAAGCCTTCCCGCTGCATTCAGTTTCAATTCATTCTTTGGCGTCAGCTTGTTCGCGCTTCAAACCTCGCCGTTTTCTCAGCGTGATCTCACAGCTGATTCTACTGCACGCCGTTTCTGTCTTCCTGCAGCCGTATCAAGCAGCCGCGGAGAATTCCTGCTCAACGGAGAATTTGTGGTCAGCATGTTCAAAAGGGAAATCAAAGTAGGAGAAGCTGTCGTCGAGTACAGCGGCTCCGATCACGTGATCGAGAGGATCAACTGTACCGATCGCATCGAGGAGGAGATCATTGTCCAGGTAAAGTCCGCTGAGGGAGGACACTTTCCATCCCACGCAAAAACACAGCAGAATGACTTAATACGGAATGAATCTAAATGATTCTTACATTATCTTCAAAAGTGTGTGCTTGTATTGAAAAGGCTTGGATTGCTCACCTGTAATGGATTTCACATTGCCTGCATTCCTTCCAGGTGCTGTCCGTCGGGAACCTTTACAACCCAGATGTCAGGTACTCCTTTAATATCCCCATCGAGGATAAGCCTCAGCAGTTCTTCTGGGACGCGTATGGGCCCTGGCAGGAGTGCAACCGTCTGTGCCAAGGTGAGGGGGAGACACATGTGGTTGGCAGACTGAGGTGTTCGGGAAGGTTAAAGATGAATGATGTTAGAGTCGAGATGAGACGGAGGAAAGGAGACCTCAGAGTCAGGAACAGATGAGGGGATGTACCTTCTTTAACTATTTAACAGCTTCTTATCTTGAGACCAAAAGAACAAATGCAAACTTTAGAGCGCTTAGTGTCAGATCACCCTCTCTGGCATGACTGTGAGTTTGTTAGGGCGTGTGGGCGTGCAGAGGTGGATTGCAGGTACACTCTAAAACCCTCTGTGTGTTATGACTTCACTTTGTTCCTCGCGGGAGTTTCTTCCTCTGCTTTTTGACACAGCTCTGCTGGAATAACCAGCAGTGGATTCCAGGGAGAAACCTCAAAACTTCACAGTTTCTTGCAGGATGAACATTAGACAAAAAGCTGGGACACACTGAGCTCTTTTGTACGGAAATGCAAAACTTTCTAACATAAAGATATCACATGGATCCACATGAGCTATAAATATGTGACCTACTCCATCTGTGCCTCATTTATCTATTCTTACAGCACTCTACTAGATCTATACAAAGACTAATGAGAGCTTTATCACATTCATACACCGATGGGACACACATCAGGGCAGTGAGGGGTTCAGTGTCTTGCCCAGGGACACTTCAGCATGTGACTGCTGGTGGAATCGAACCCCCAACTCTTGTATTGGAGGACAACTGCTTTAACCACTCAGCCACTGCCGCCCCTGTGCAGAGGTTTCCTGTGACTTCTTTATCAGTTGTATAGAAAATAAATTAAAAAGAGGGGGTAAAGGATATTCAATTCTTAATAAGCACATGCAAAATCAGTATATTTAAAAAAAATAAATCAATCATTAAGTAAAATGTAGGAGCGATCTAATTCCAGTGCATGCTTGTTTCCTGCATGTGGTTTTATGTTTATTGTTGTATTTAAGTTGTATTTCGGGTACTTTCTTCTCTTAGAGAGCAGCTACAGATTGTTTTATGTAAAAATCAGCTTGTGGAATGTTCCCGATTTTATTAGAGAACATGCATTGTTGTTTATTTCCAGGAAACTTGAGTTTAATCTTGATAAATTACATTTTAAATATTTGTATATTGATAAATTATTAATAATAGTGATGCTATGACGCTAAGCATTCTTTAAAAATGTATATGACGTACATTCATTCTTGGCATTTTGTGTCTCAAAATTTCCTCCTTTGTTTCTTGTTTAATATTCAGATATATTATGTTTCTGAGATGATACAATTTGTACTGCTTAAGGATTCACTGTCATTTGGTTGTACACGCACGTACGAGGACTCAGATGACTATTTAATGACTTCACTGCGTTCAAAGATGCTGCGCATGGTAATGACAGGCAGAAGATGGTCAGGTTTTCTTGAGTTTTAATGGTTTTCATCATGCTTTTGTTAATTTATTACGAAAGCAAAAATAATCTCATCATTTTAAAAGTGATGTTCTGGAAAATACTAAGTAGCTTATCAGCTGTGGCGTCAGTCATAAAGAATGGGATATGAAAAAAAGGCCAGAGGTCTCTTTTGTCCATAAGGTATTGTTAAATGTTTGGCAGAACATTACATAATAAATTACCAAGGAATGAAAGCACCCCTCACCAACATGACTACCAGCTCATCACTAAATGAATGCTGAGACAGAAAACCTTATATGTTCAAGTCAGGACACAGAGGAAGAACAACAAACTCACATCCAGTTAACCAACAGGGTCTAAACCAGTGCCTTACTTTTAGGGAACAGCGCAGCACCCAAAAGCAACACATTGGCCTTTTTAGTGTCACTTTAATGAATATATGCAATTATTTAACCAAAGACTCTGCCGCGGGTTATATTTTTTAATGTTTGAGTATAGTGGCACATTATTTACTCTTTAATGATGTATTTTTGTATTTTTCCAGGTGAGCGTAAGCGTAAGATTCTGTGCAGTAGAGAATCGGACGGTGTGGTGGTGTCAGACCAGAGGTGTCACGGTACAGCTCGACCTGCTGTCATCACCGAGCCCTGCAACGCTGAATGTGAACTCAGGTTTGTATCACCAGGATATCCAGCTTTTATCACCTGAGTGTAATTCTTTAAAACAGTTTTGTACAAACTCGATTGCCATAAAATGTTGGATCTGATTTGTTCCCTGACAGGTGGCACGTGGCTCGTAAAAGTGAATGCACAGCTCAGTGTGGCCTCGGATATCGCACTCTGGAAATATATTGCACCAAGTTCAGCCGCCCCGATGGCAAGATCCAGAAGGTTGATGACCGCTACTGCAGTGGTCAACGCAAACCTGAGGATAAAGAAAGTTGCCATGGAGACTGTAACCCCGGTGGTTGGGATTACTCTCCCTGGTCAGAGGTACAGCTGTAGAAATGAGAGTTTCAGCAGAAACTATATTCTGTTGAAGCTTCAATTTGCAGATGCTCAAATGTTTGTTTATGCAGTGCTCAAAAAGCTGCGGTGGCGGCACTCGACGTCGAGGGGCGGTGTGTCGAAAGGTCGCTGAGGGCAGCGGGGATGAGAGCAAATGCAGTCAAAGGGACAAACTGACCGTCCAATCCTGCAACGATTTCCACTGCCCACAATGGAAAACTGGTGACTGGTCCGAGGTCAGTTGTTGTTTCTTTGCTTTCACCAACTTGGCAGTTTTGTGACATGTCGCTTATAATTAGCTAAATAGTTACATATTATAAAAATGGCAAAATATTCAGTGAACGCATTTGCAATGATAATTCATGTTTTTAAGTGTTTGGAGTTAACGTCACATGTCACCTTGAAAAGTTTGTGGCTGTGCGTGTTAGCAAAATATCTCATGAACCACTAAACGTTTTAATGAAACTCTCAGAAAGTAACTACTGGATGTGCATCCAACACTGATTACATTTGGAGTTGACCCAGTTCACAATAGCCATTACACTGAATAAACCAGCAAACACAAAAATGGTACTCTGTCAGCTTTATAGACCTTGAAGTAAGATTTGCAGTGGTAGTGACTAAAACACATGCCCAACACACACTCGGAGGGCAGATAGCACAAGATCTTTTTAAAAAATCTATTAAGTGTTGGATTCAACATTGTCTGTAATAAAAATATTCTGTGTAGACAGTATTTCTTGAAACTTTCAGAAAGTTTTCACTAGATGTGCACTTACAGCTGGTTAACTTTTGGAGTGTATATATTCAACAAGACTCCCATAGCCAAGAAATCTTAGCAGAATAATATAAATAACTCATCAATTTAGCATATATAGAGCTAAAAGTTGGTGTGGTAGTAGCTGAGAGTGTTCCCTATATTACCAAGCACTAACCAATAACACAAGATCTTTTCAAGGTACATTAGTGTTGTTCTTTTTAGATTTTCAGTTCTTGAACATTGTGTATTGCTGTTTGTCTTGCTCACGCCTGTCAACCATCAGTTATCAGCTCACCTGTTTTCACTCTGTAATTACCTAGTGTAGTACCGGTACTTATACTTCTCTGTCCTTAGCATGTTATCAGATCATCCAATTACTTCTTTGTAGCTTATCATCTTGTTTCATATTTGGTTAAACTGAGTTTTTAGTGCTGGAACCTGCCCCCTTGTGCCCGTATTTGGCTTCATTCACCCACCCATTCATGTCCGCTCTTAATCAATAGATCAGAACATGAGTTCCTTTCATAATTGGTGCATGCATCAAGTTTTGGCAAATATTTCTTTTTAGTTGATCTTTTTAATGCAGTTACACGTTTGTTTATTTGCCTGTATTCTGCATATTTAAGTAGCATTGCACTAACTCGTTGTTACTGTACGGTAATTTTTGGGGGGCCCTAGAGCTGATAACGTCTTCTAAATAATTCTGGTTCTCAGAAAGCCGTTAGCCTCTTTTCCCTTCAGAGTGTTGTGAAAGTGGTGATTACAGTCCTGCACTTTTAACGCATTGTACAGCAAGGAGCTTGCAGAACTGCATTCCAGGAATTTTTCAGATCTCCCATGTGTTTCTGCCAAAACACTTACAATGCCCTGTATAAATGTGTTCTTACAAAGAAGTAACTATTCTTAGTTTGTGCTCCTACAACACGTTGATTTGCTTTAAAGGGTTCTTTTCAAGGAATGAATGTCGGTCCCAGTCGACATAAATGAACCTAAATAAATTCATTGTGTATGACGGTGTGAAACATTTCTTTTTCAGTGCCTTGTAACGTGTGGGAAAGGCTACAAGCATCGTCAGACGTGGTGTCAGTTTGGTGAGGAGCGTCTGGACGACCATTTTTGTGGCTCATCGAAACCCGAGTCAGTGCAGACTTGCCAGCAACAAGAGTGTGCGTCTTGGCAAGTTGGACCGTGGGGACAAGTGAGTACACTCAGTGTTTTTATTCTTTTTAGTACGCAGCAAACACATTTTGTTCAAGGTCCAAATCAACAAACTGTATTTTTGCTGAATGTGAAAGAACAGACTGATGTAGGTTGACTCCGAACATATAATGGACACCTGCACCTACCGCTGCCTGACATTAAGTCAGATGTATGGGTCACACTGGTCAAGCTCAGAGTGAATGGTTTTTTTTTCAGTGGTCTTATCAAGTCTGGAGAACTTTTATTAACTGGTATGACCAAATGTTTTTTGTGTTTTATCTTAAAACCTGTTTAGGTTTAAAAAGTTAAAACTAGGGATGCACGATATTATCGGCATGGTATCAGTATCGGCCGATAATAGCGATAAAGGTAAATATCTGACATTGTTTGTTCCATTCAAAAACTCACCAACAT